CACCCCCCAAAAATCGCTCTTATGCTTTCTGGATGCCTCACTTCTCTTTCTGAAATCCAGCAATTCAAAATGTGAGCCTGTGTTGGCTCAGCTCTGTGCTAGGGGCCCAGGGTAGGAAGGCAGAGCAAGGTCCAGCCTGCAGGGATGGCAAGAGAACATATCAGGGACCTGTGATTAGTTGAGCCCTAACTATGCACCAGGCATTGTAATGGACACCTCACATGTTATCTGTGAGGTATGTCCCACTGCCCCATTTTTCAGATATGGAAACTGAGGCTGTGTGAGATAAGGCAGAAGGAGGGCAGTGACTTACCTCAAGTTAAATAGTGACTCAGCAGCCAAGCCAGGGCTGTACCATGCTGTGGCAGGGGTTCAGTTGTTCAGTCACTCAGCACGTTGACTGGGCTCCTACTCTGTCCCAGGCCCAATTCCTGCTCTGAAGATAGAGCAGCAAATAAATCAGATAAAGCCCCTGCCCTCCTGGAGCTGACATTCCAGGTGGGAAGAAAGGCAATTAACATAGATACAGGGCAGGTAAAAGTAAGTTCACAGTTGTCAGTACTTGAAACAGAGTTTGTTCTTGTACTATTCTTATTGTATTTTCCACATGAACAACTGTAAACCTACGTTTGCCCACTGCTGTATATACAATATCAAGTGATGAGGAGTCTGCCAAACAAAACAAAAAAACCCGCAAGCACGTAAGGGGGGAGGCTCAGGGGGCACTATTTTATACAGAGGGGTTAGGTAAAGCCTCTCCAATAAAGTGACACCTGACAGAGACAATGAGCCATGCTAGGGAAGGAAAGCAATGCAAAGGCCCTACAGCAGGTATGCTTGGCATGTTGGCAGCCAGGTGGCTGGAATAGAGAACAAGAAGGAGAGTGGGAGAAGAGGTCAGCAAGGTCAGCAGGGACAGAGTACAGGCCCTTGCAGGCCAGGGCAAGGACTGTCTATATATATATTTTAATATATCTTTATTGATTTTAGAGAGAAGGAGAGGGGGGGAGAGAGAGAAACATCAATGATGAGAGAGAGTCATTGATCAGCTGCCTCCTGCACGTCCCCAACTGGGGATGGAGCCCACAACCCCGGCATCTGCCCTGACCGGAAATCCAACTTTGATCTCCTGGATCCTAGGTCGATGCTCAACCACTGAGCCGCACCGGGCCAGGCCTATTTTTTACTCTGAGTGAGACCTGAAGGAGACTTGGAGGCTCTGAGCAGAGCAGAGCAGAGCATAGATCAGCCTTCCTCTGGATCAAGAGCAGACTACAGGAGGCGAGGCCGAAGCAGGGAGGCAGTTAGGCAGCTTTGCAGTCTCCAGATGGGAGATGAAGGTGCTGAGACCCAGGAGGTAGCCCTGGAAGTGAGAGGAGTGGCCACGTTCTGGTGTTTCAAAGGAAAAACAGTCAGGCTTTGCTGATGGAATCCATGTGGGTGTGAGACAAATACAAGGTTTCTGGCCTGAGCAATAGCAAGAAATAAAGATGCTGTTGTTTGCTCTGATGGAAAGATATTGAAGGCACTGGTTTGAGGGTGAGGGATGGGATTGAGATTTTGTTCTGGGACCTGTTAAAGGTGCCAGGCAGGCCAAGTGGACAGTCAGATGTGAGTCTAGAATTCAATGGAGAGTCTGGGTAGATGGCAGAAGCGTGAGAGTGGTCGGAGTACAGATAGTCAAAGCCCTGGCTGACTCCGCCCAGGGCGACATTAGGACTTCTGTGGCCCTGGGCACTTTTTCCTTTGGGGTTCCTTCCTCCATTAAAAAAATATTTTAAATTACCATTTTATGACTGTGTACATATAAAGACAAATATAATCCAGGCAAGATTATATTCATTTATCTCTTCTAATTGTAAAAGAAGTTAGATCATGTTTGTGGGCCCCTAAAAGTACTATGGGCCCTGGGCACCGTGCCCTTACAGAGGCCACCGTGCCTCTGTAAGATCGCCCTGAGTGCACCAGGGAATAAATACAGATAAAGAAGAGGTCCAAGGGAGGAACCATAGGGCATGGCAACATTTAGAAGTTTGGGAGCAGCAAACAAGACATGAGGCAGAAAATGTCTCAAAGAGGAGGCAGGATCACCTGGGAGACTTAACTCAGTGTCCATTGAGCAGGGGCTGGGAGCTCTGAGGCCTCTGCGGCCTGGGTTCCACCCATCACCCCTCCCGCAGCTCTCCCACCAGGGGCCAGCTGTCTCCTGCTCTCCAGCCCTGCCCCCCAGCCCTGCCCCAGGCTTCTACCCAGGTGCCAGGACAGTAAGACTATTAACCTGGTCTCCCTCCTCCCCTTGCAGATCACGTTTGAGATCTCCAAGCAAGACGACTGGCAGATTCCCATCTGGATCATTGTGGGCAGCACACTGGGGGGCCTCTTACTGCTGGCTTTGCTGGTCCTGGCGCTATGGAAGGTAAGGGCCCCCCACAGCAGGGAGCGGCATCCCAGCTGGTTGGCCCACACTTGGGGCTCCAGCCTCTGGGCTCTATGGCCAGTCCCCATGTTTTACTCCCCACGGGAGCTGGCACCCACCCAGCCTTCTCCCCAGAAACTTGCCTGCTGCCACAGCATCCAGCCCTATTCACAGCAGGCTGATTGGACACCAGAGGGCACTCAACGTATGGCTCCCACCCTTTTGTTAGGTCCCTTTGAGAACCTGATGAAAGCTGGGGTTCCTCTCATCAGAAAAAGAGCAAGTACACGCAACCACAAAATGTCTCCAACAAAGTCAGGCTGTTAACAAACACTTCAAAGCCCTTTGCTGTCCCTGAGCCTCAGGTTAATAAGCCCTGGTCTCAACCTCCTTCTGTTATAGATAAGGTGAAGGAGGCCCAGAGAAGACTGTTAACTGGGGCAGAGTCACACAGCATGGCCTCTTGCCTCGACCCAGACTCTATCCACTCTGTCCAGTGCCCCCTCACCAATTAAGTGGCCCACCGTGAGGCCCACAGGAGAGCTGGGGAGGGACAGAGGGCACTCATCACTGTGAGCTGGGGTTTTCTGGAAGCCTGAAGAGGGAAGAAGCCTGAAGAGGGTTTGTGGAGGGAGAGCAGGGAGGGGAGTTAGGCCTGGTCCACTCTGCCCACTCTGAGACTTCTGCCTTTGCTTCCCCACAGCTCGGCTTCTTTAAAAGTGCCAAGCGCAAGAGGGAGCCTGGCCTGGACCCCACCCCCAAAGCACTGGAGTGAGGCTCCCGAGGAGGCTGCGAGTTGACGGGCCAGGTCCAGGTGGTGTGCAGGCTCAGGCCTGTGGCCCAGGCTGGGGCGGAGAGGATGCCAGCTCGCTTTGCACTTGACCTCATCTGAGAAACCTAGCCTGCTCCCTGTGAAGGGAACTCAAGCCAGTTTTAAGAGGGACTGCCCTACTGGGAGACCAAGACACCGCCAACAAAAATCCCTGATAGAAAGGGACCCCTCCTAAGGCACACCCCAAAGCCTCCCCCAGGCTCTGTGGGGGCACTCGCTACCCCCCGCCTTTAAGGTGCTAGGAATTCCTAACCATCCTGATCCTCAGAAGAAACCCAGAGAGGAAGACTGCACTCTGCACACTCCAGGCCTCTAGTTCCAGTAGGACCCAGTGGGACAGCAGATCTGAATTCTGCACTGTCCTCCACCCCCACGCTGCTGACGGCTCCTGAGTCACGCCTACCCCTCCCCAGGCAGGAGATGGGTCCCCAGAGCTCCACCTGAACAGCCAGAGCCCAAGGGCTCGATGATGACAGCTGAGGGCCAGGGATGAAGGCTCGGGGACTTGGAGACTGTGACGGACAAGCAGCTGGGACCCAGGATACGGGGAGCTCGCACAGGGATGGGCGGCTCCCTACATGTTCACACTGACTGCCACCCACACCCCCCCTTTCT